GAACCTGCGACCTTCGTGCTGCGAGGCAACAGTGCTAACCACTGCGCCACCATGCTTACAAATGTTTTATGTTATAATTTATTTATTTACTCATTAATTATATACTATAATGGGTTTTATGAATGATAATGATATAAATAATCTGCTCTTGTATAGCGCCTTTCAGCTTTACGCTACAGTATATCATTCATCCATTCACACACATAATCACACGCTGATGGTGATGAGCTACAATGTAGCCACAGGTGCCCTGGGGCACACTGGTAGGGGTGAGCTGCTGGTGCCACCGGTCCCTCTAAACTCCACCAGCAGGTAGGGTGGGTGAAGTATCTTGCCGAAGGACACAACAGCAGCCTTCTCTGGCGGGAGCCAGTGTTCCGACCATCCGTGCTACTCGTCGACATGTGCTACTTTGGGGAAATGTGCAGACCGATTTCTAAGTCACAGGCTGTTTACCTGAAGAGACGCATGCGCTCCCTCTGGAAGTTGTTATATTACTGCTTGTTGTATGTTTACCTGACAGTCAGGTTGTGAATGGCTCATAAAATATCGTTATTATACTGTAAACAAGACATTTCTCCCATTGTTTACCGTTACACGGAATCATGACGAGCACTGTCTTTTTCATAAATAAATCATGACGAACTGTATATTTTACTAATAATTTGTAGAGTCATGAATGTCCTGTTTTTGACCTAAAGGTCATGATCTGCTGCGTCTGCTCAAGCAGAGACATAAGGTCTCTGACAGGCTATTCTACATGAGATAGTGGCCAAGGCCTTTCATGCACTCTGCTCATCTGAACTGCTTCACTTCTGTTACAGCTCAAGACGAAGACGAAGAACTCTCTTGATAAACACATAATCAAACGTTTGTTATTACCAATAATAATGCGAGCCCAATGTTCAATCTGTGAAATGACAATGTTATTACTTGATATTATAATCCTGTGATCAGTAGTATTTGACAAGTCATTATAATCTTGGACATTTGATCTAGACACTGATGACATGTAATGCTAAAGCCACATGACACATTTCCTTTTGTCTGATCCAATCAGAACCTTCGTTTCTGGTGCGAGGCGTGGTTTTCTGTGGTGCTTGTATAAACCCTCTTTTGCATGTCAAATTCCGATTCGCCAGTAAACCAAAATATGACAATTATAAAAACTATTCCACGCCACCTTTTCTTTAGTTCAAAGCGTTCTAGAGAAGTCTCGGACAGACCATGCGGACTTCCTCTTCAGCCATAAAGAACCTCGACAAGCTGGATAAAATCTGTTGCAAGTTACACCTGACCGCAACGGTTCCTTCAGAATAAAAGCTGAACCTCACGACCCCTTCATGGTCTCACTGATGCCAATAATAACTGTCGTGACCTGGAAGCATTCCAAGGCTAGTTTGGTCGGCGCCGCTGCTTTTCTACCGGCTTCGGTTCCAAGGAGGGTCCAAGAGGACCTCGGCATTCTGGATCTAATCGGAGGCTTCCCCTGGGTACGTAGACCGACAGATGGCGTTTCATGTGTGTTATAAATCTCCAACCAAAGTTCAGAGCAAAACGTTCACTCCCACTCAGAACTAAATTCTTCTCCGGACCGTAAGGTTCTGAATAACATTCCACACACACCATCATCTCGCGTCTCACTCCACCTTAGTCCATCAGTACACAGGGTGTTTAAAGTTAGTCTTGTTTAAATTGTGTAGAAAGAAATTTCTTAACTATTTTAAACCTGATTCTCTCTCTTTCCTCGAAGTTAATACAAAGTGTCGCTTAATCCCTGCAATCAAAAGTTCTGATCTTCTGGTTAAAATATTCAAAGATCCATCAGATTGATATTTCATATTTCTATGGAATCTCACATTTTATGGTTCATAAGTAATATGTAAACTGCCCATCCTTTACAAATTATACTACAGTTCTGTATTTTTGAGTAATATCACCAATTTAAAATGAACCGTGCTTAATGAGCGTGTTACTGTACTGTAAACAGGAGCGAAACTGTCGTAACTCGCTGCGGTAGGAATATTCGACGAGGAAGCATGGATAGTCAGAACACCGGGATTGATCCTACAACCCTCCGATTACTGGACAACCTGCTCTACCTCCTGAGGTACTGCCGCCCTTTAAATTAATGTCTTGATTGATGAGGGTGAATTTATGGTTTTTAAGAACGTGATTATGATTTATTAAAACAAAGGGTGCCAGAGAGGTAGCCAGCAATTTTTAGGGGCGGCCATGACCCCCGCTACCCACCCCTTGGAGGTGCCACTGCGTAAAAAAGGGGAAAAATGCAAAGCTTTCATTCTGATTGCCCCATTGTCAGCTAAAGTGTGAGAACACGCCACACAGATCCATCCCTGTGGACAGTTTGCGAAGCCAAAGATTCAGCGTCCAATTGATTTTTCTTTTAGTTTGTTTCTTATCAGGTAGAGCAGAGTCGGTTTCCTGTGCCCGTCAAAGAATGGGTAGCAAAGAGAGGAGAAATCCTGTTTGTAAATCACACCACAGGGACACTGCTGTCAGGACACCATGTTTACTTTGTTTTACTACCACTGTCTTATCCTGTTGACAAGGCAGGGCAGTGATGTGTGTCACTGATTTAACAGCGCGGTCAAAAATAATCCCCCCAAAAAACACACATCACGCCTCCTTCCTGGGCTGCCAGGTGCCAGAGAAAGCAGAAAAGGAGATGCACTTCACCTCCCATGTTTGAAGCCTCACCCTCTCACTATCAACTCAAGAGGAAGCAGAAGGTCAGCCTGTTCGAGGTGACGGGAAGCAAGTCAGCGCTTAACCTCTCCAGTCAAACACCTGGCCAAGCAACGGCTTTACAAATGACAAGAATAACTTGGAGCACGCTTGATAAGGATGCATTTGTTGCTGTGAAAAATAAATTCTTCTGGTTTTGCTTTATTTTGTTGAACGTTTCATTGCAGCAAACATATTTCAGTGTCATGCAAAGTTGACCTGAATAAATAAAATATTTTAAATTTTTTAATGTGAACAATTAAAAATTTAATTAAATAATTTGTTGATTATACATTAACTGTCTCATGAACCCAATTATTTCCAAAACTGGCTGTAATTTCATGAGGCACAACAGGAAGTAAGCTAAAATATCTGAAAAGCATCATTTCATATCTAATCCCGTTTTACAGATTTTTTTAAAGACAAAAGAGTCTAAAACAACATGTGAAGAACTGCAGGACTTGTGGTGCGTTCGATTTGTCCTCGGAACTCGGAAATCCCGACTTCAGAGTACAAAATCAAATGAAAAGCCCTCCAAAGTTGGACCTCCCGGTTGGAAACTCAGAAGAATTTCAGAACTCCAACCTCAACATCCAAAATGGCAGATCTAAGTTAAACATACTAAAAGTTTTGTTTGCATAATGAACGTGTAGCTTAAAACTCCGTTATTAAGAAGAATCTGCAATAGATGGCTACTTGGAAGGCGTGAGTCGCCATACTGGTATCCTGAATTCTCAGAGTACAGAAACCAGAACGCGGTTAACTTAGGTGTGATGCCATTCCCAGTTCAGACATCCGAGGTAAATCAAACGCACCATTGGTTAAGGTCAGAGTTCAAGATTTAATAGTAGGAAAGAGACGAGGGGCAAAAATGGCATCATGGGTGAATTCTGAACAAAGACTTGCTTCATTTTATCAAAAACATCTTAGCGATTCTCCAGACTTTTGAGAAAATATTCTATGGACTGACAAGACAAAAAGTGGAATTTTTGGAAGGTGTATATACCAATACTCTGAATAAATGCAACACTCCAATTCAAATAACGGGCACGCACAGAGTTGGTAGTATGATGATGTGGGGTTGCTTTGCTGCTTCAGAACCTGGACCGCTTGCTGAAAGACCCTCAATTTATGTTCAAGTTCATGTTGAAAAATCCTTGAATGTGACTGAATTAAAATAATTCAGCAAAATAGAGTATGACATCTTTCTTTCACAGAAATGTAGGATATTCTTTTTTCATTATCAGAAAAGAATACTTAAATTCAGGAGTCAAATACTTTTCTTTTTTTTTACACAGGGCCAGTTGTATTTGAACAGCTCAGGTGATCTTTGTCTAACAACAACAACAACAATGAAAATATAAACTATTATTGTTACTATTATTTTATTGTTTTTATTATTGCTTTCAAGAATTAGTTACAACACTTAACTCCCCACTGGGATTATTAAGGTTTTTTTCAAATTAGAACAAAAAGCAAATTCTTTGCTGATCTGAATCATTTTAGGGTGGCGAAACACAAAGAAACAGACAAAATCTGCTAGGGAGGGATTAACATTTTCACAGCACCGAACAGCATACGCACAATCTCCACCATCTGCAACAACCGGTTTATATCAAATTTTTAACATTTGAAGTACTACAAGTGTTTCCTGCTTCCTTCACCTGTACAGTCTGAGTCACATCATAAAGGTTATAATTAACGTCTCCTCTTGTTTCGATGTCACAAACTCACAATGATGTCCTCTAGTGTGAACAGAGAGAAAGGCAACAAATGTCTAAATTTACACCTTTTCACACAAACAGGAAAAAAGCAAAAACGTGTTAGGTAGTTACTGAAAAGCAACTCGTGTTTGAGTGGAAGGAAGTATGTATTGAGTGCATAACTTTTGTTTAGAATGTGCAGCAACGGTGAGTTTAATTTCCCTGATTTGAGTATTAATCACCACCTGACGCTCTGGTGTAATTTGCTGGTTTAACAAGTGTAATTATCCTGATATGAAAAGGTCTAATTATCCCTGACTGACGCAAGTGGACACAGCGAGCCGCACTGCTCTCGCGCCCCTCATCGTTCGTAGGATTCGGATATGATGTCAGCACGCGCTCTGACGGTCTCCCTGACAACGCCGCGTGCGGTAGTGACGCGAGCGCGTACCCCGCGGCTCGTGGTGAGTGGGCGTGACTCGCGACGTTAGCCCCCCCCTCTCCCTCCCTTCCTCCCTGCTTGTGTACCGTCAGTGTGGGCGGGGCCTCCGGACAGAAGGGAGCGAGAGAAACACTACACCCCGAGGACGGAGCGAGCACGCGGGGGGGAGGAGGAGGAGAGAGCAGCGCTGAGTGACGTGAGAGAGAGTGGAGGACTAAAAAGTCTGCGAAGAAGAAAGAGAGGTCGCTCTCTAACGTTCATTTCTGTCTAATAAGTCACAGCTCTGCGGTGGAGAGATGCGGAACAGCCGCGAGGATGCGGCTGGGACGGAGTGAGCAGTTAGCGAAGAGGAAAAGAGAGAGAAACTGGCTCGAGCCGGGACGGTTGGTCCTCTTTACCCCCTCTCAAGTTGAGCAGATTTAAAAACGGGACCAGAAGTGGGGGACCAACGTGGTTTTCGCCTGAAACAAGCTTTGTTTTTGAGCGAAGAGCCGGAGAAACGGAGCCCGGCGGCAGCGGCGGCTCGAGTTGAGAGCGGATCGAGCCGCTGAAGCTACAGGAGGGGGAAAAGTTTGCCGTGTGTCTTTACCTAATTTTCCAGAGCGGGACCAGACCGAAACGCAGACCTGTCTTTCCACAAACAACTTTGTGGAATTCTTACAGTTTAGTTTTCCAGCTGTGTGTGTGTGTGAGAGAGAGAGAGAGAGAAGCAGCTGAAGCAGTATGAAAACACCTGGAGACACTGGTAAGTTTACGCGACTCCTGCTACGATTGCTTTTGTTTATCGTGTTTACTTGACGTCAGCAGTGCCGATAGAGAAAGATAATTAACTTACGACACTGATCAGAAAGAATAAATCTCAACCTGTTGACTCTAACTAGTCCCCACAACTGGAGCAGGGCTCAAGTAACAAAAATCCGGTGCAGGCTAAATACTGTACTCCTGTCTAGGAGGAAGTGGTTTACGGTACAGTTCTTAATGCGACATCCTCTGTGTCACCGTGACGACCTTATTTCACCTTCCAGCAAGTTTCAGAGAACTGACAGAATATCCTAGAAGCCCTGGGTGTTATGTATCCAGAGGATTGATATGATAGTAGCGGAGTTCAGGTGATTTGGGCAGATAAACAACTTAGGAAGCTGATAGGAGCACACGTTTGTCAGGTAGATGCATGGCCTGTCAGCATATTGAAGTAAGAAGGAGTAGGAGTGGGTTTCCAGCAGTCAGCTGAGGTCTGGATGTGTCTAATTCCCTAAATGCTTGCATAAGTTTGCTTCTTTCTGCTCTCTAAAAGACCAACCAGTGCGAGTTTTCCTTCAGAAGGGAGGAAGTGGAGGAACTGTCATGTGTGCCACCTATTTTCTCATGAACTGCCTGCCCTCATTTCATGCTCATAGCACCCGCTGTGTTTTAAAAAGGTTAACTTGGAACAACCAAAGTTTAAAAACGTGTCTGTTTCTGCAGCAGGAACAGCATGTTTACTCTTCATAGTGAGCATTTTTAGCAGGAGCGTGCATGATGACTCTGACAAACTGCAGAAGGACCCTTTCCTGCTTGGGACAGTCCCCCCCTCCCTTCCACCATGCCTGCTCATAACTCTCTTCACCCAGCCTCTCAGCCCTCCGCATTCCTTTGCACACACACACACCCACACTCTGTGAGGAGGCTGTCTGACATCACACCACATCCCACTACTGCTTTTACAAGGAGCTCTGTGTTTGTGTGCCATCAGATAGCCCACGGTACTAAAAGTTGATTGTGTTTAGAGTTTGTTATCTGTTCAGTAAAGAGGATTAACTCATCCTCTACTGTTGATTGGTGTCAAAACTCTGCTGCCATTCAGGTTATTGAGCATTTATGTGATTGTGAGACAGTCTTTTATTTATTTTTTTGCTGATTTTAGCCATTCTTATCAGACAGTGTAAACAAGCAAAAATTGACCATTCTTTAAGTAATTTAGCTAAAATTTCAGCTTTTTGATTACTTCCACTAGTTGAGCGTGGTTCATGAACTTCCTTCAGCTCTCTGCATTCTCACATTTTTGCAAGAAATGCAATTCTTCTTGTTTTGTAACTAATATCAATGTGCAACCCTTTTGCTCGTAACGAAGTTTCTTCATCATCTAGGTATTTGAACAAAATAAATACTTACACACATCAATATGCATTTAAGTACTGTTTCTTGCATGCATTGTTGATGTAGGTATCTTTGATGCTGTTGTCCTGGAGTTGTCTTTGCCTATTTATTTTTTGTTTGTGTCTCTGAGTCATTCCTGATCAATGAAACACAAAATAAAACTAAAGTTTATGTAAAATGCATGATGAAAATGCATGCAATTGAGGCTTGAATGTTGATTTGGACGTACAATACCAACACTACATTTAAAACAATAAGATGGCATCTACCACTGCAAGTCTATGCACCAATGAATTGTGAATATTTTCAGTAAGCACTACTTTTCAAAACTAATCAAACAAAACAGAACAAATGTTTATTTGTGCCTAATCTCTGCACGATTCATCTACTCTTTTTCCCCGCTTATCCCTACATTTTGTGTTCTCTCTTTTCCTTTTTGTTCTTTCTTTTCTGTTGAGCAACTAATGACTTAACAGTTTAATCACTAATTGGTAGGTATTTCTATCTAACGTGCAAGTCTGACCTTTGAGCCACAGTTGAATCATTGAAGTTGTTAATCTCCAGTATTGTCCTGATCTCTCGGCCCTCTTTGCTTTTTCTGCATATGCAATCACAACGCAAGCTCCAACCCATGAGTCCTTTACATCATTTAGATTAAAAACAGTTGGAGGATGCGGATGGATGGTCTCTAGATATACACAGGATTAAAAAAATGTAATCATTCCTTCCTGGGATGTTAGATGTGGGATTATGTGTCTCTTAATCTGCTTTTATGGACTTCACTTCCCTTTTCCTCATCTGTAGACTTTCACCTCTGTTTTACAGACTTTATATTAGCTAAATAGATGATAGGATTTCTGCTGGGTTGACATGACACGGTTGTATCTGCGGTTGGCATCAGGTGGGTTTTGGTCTCGGGGTATCCGTTTTGATTTAAGTTGATATCTAATCGCTTCTGTTGACCTGGTCTTTGTTGGTGACTCATGAAGGCTTGAGTACTGCTATCGGTCGTGTTAGTCAGCAGAGAAGTGTTCTTTAATTCATGCAGCCATCTTTTTGTGTGTGACTCAAAGGCTGTACTAATGATGGAGTGAGTTCTGGTGATTAAAGCGGGCAGAAATGCAGTTCGGACAATGTTGTGCAATTTCTCCATTTTTCTTCATCAAGAGGGCTACAGTTCTTGAGTCCTTCGTCACATTTTTCTTTCCCTGACAGGATAAGGACTAGTGTGTGTCTTTGTGTGTGACAGAATTGCACGGTAGGACCCCTGGCTCTAGTGTGACCATTGTGTGGATGTGTGTGTGTGTGGAGTGTTGGACAATGGAGGGAGTGGGGCAGGGTCTGGGACTGATTGTGTGTGGAGTTGTGAGGCCAGGGACCTCGTTTTGGTAATAATGCTGCGGAGTAGCTCATAGTTTGACGGTGCTTTTGACATGAAGAGACCCCGCTTCTTCTGCGTGTGTGCGTGTGTGTCCGTGAAAGCACAGAAAGTAGGAAAAAGTGGAGTTAATTTGGACATCTTTTCACCACACGTGCAAAAACATAGTTTTAGTGATTACTGTTTCGCACCTCTCCCTGCTTCCTGAAAGTGATTGATCTACGTTAGAGATGTGTTACCATTTATTTTTACACACACAAGGCAGGAAACAAAAGGTCAGCATCTGAGCAACACATTAAAAACAAATATTTCTGTTTCCTTGTTTGAGTTCCTGTGTGCGACTGTAAGCGTGTGCTTTTCAATCTCAACAACTGCTGTGATGATAAGCTCAGTGATTAGCCTTATCTGTGAAACCTCCCTCGCAGCGCTGACCACAGCAAAACCAATACCTCCTGCTGTCACCCGGTGCAGTTTTACAACCAGGTTTATAGAACAATGTCCTGCTGTGATTGGGCTCAGCTAACACATGTAAAGCCTAAAACTGATGATGTTCCACAGCAGAACTGGTCGTCTTTCATCTGAAATACCTGCCAAAATTCCACTCAGTACCAAGAAACCAGTTTTGATCACTTGTTTGAACTTCTCAGCTGGACAACTGTAAGGAAAAAAATCGTATTATTTTTCTTCCCCTGCATCCGTCGGTGTAGTAGGAGTAGTCGTTGTGGAACAAAATATTTGAAAAGAGGAAGTCACAGCGGTTCTTTGTAAAAGTTCTGATGGGATGCTAATTTGACAAATGACTTCTGGTTTTCAGAAGGGGGGGCTCAGTTGTGGACATGTCTGCGTTTAGCTAGGAATGTGACCAAAGGGAACAATGTGCCCAGCCAGTTGACGCTAATCAACCTCCGCATCATTAGCCCCGCGTCGCCCTTGGCGGCCTGTAAGGCAGCGATACTCTTGACGGCCTTGATTCTTGTGACGTCTCTGCTTCCCTCAAACTCAGAGAGTCATCACTTTAATCCCAATTGTTCCCAACAAATCCGAAAGATTATCAACATTTTGACCTTACATGATAAGCTGCGTAGCTGAAGCTCTGTGTTTTGTTGCTCACTCAGCAGCAGAAGTCAGTGTGTCCTCAGGCCATGTGTGCCTGTGAGTAACTTTTACAGTAATAACACGAGCTGCAGCCAGCATGACCCACATCGATTGTATTGGTTATTGTTCAGGGATAGCGATGGGGTGGAACTGCACGTCTGAATGAGACGGAGTGTTGACAGAAAACTGTAACACTCTTCAAGAACATATTTGTGGCTACACACACAAAAGCCACACACACATGCTGCACTGCTGCTTTTTTATTGGAATTCTTGGGCCTCCCACATTCCTGCTTGGAAGGTTAATAGTTGCCGGCTGTGTTGCATTACACACGAGGGGAAAACACAACAGTTACTATCTCTTTAAGCCCTTCAGGAAAGCAGCCACAGTCTTTTGTGTGTTTACTGAGATGAGATTTAAAACTTTAGAAAGATTAAATAATACATGGAGAGTGTTTTTTTTCTTTAAAGAGTTGAGAAGTACTCAAAGTTAAAACTTAAAAAAAGGGACTGCTTCGTCATACGCGCTCACATACAAGGGTTTCTTTGAAAATGGGTATCAGAGTTCATGTTGAATGCAGTGGGTGTGTTGGTGTGCGTGGATTGAGCTGCACGGTTCCGCAGCTGTTTGTGTTTGCACATGCGTGTATATTGTAATTTTATAAGAGGAGTTTACGCAGCTTTGCTGTTCATTCTCCACCAGAGGTGACGGAAAGGCACGTCGGGGGCAGAGTTTAGTATGTAAGCGTATCTTTAAAGGTATTACTCATGAGCGCAGCGTGTATGTTCATGCTTGTGGGTGTATGTAACAGCCTCTTGGTGACGGCGGCGCCAGTGAAACTGATCTGAGTCCGGTAACAAGTACACACATGTACACCCACGTGATGATCAGGTAACTCTATGCTCGTGATCCTTCCAGATGAGAGGTTTTATTTTGGGTCAACACATCGTAGTGTCCTTTAGGCTGTCATCTTGTTACTGGTTTGGAATATAATCAATGTGTAGGCACCTGGTATGGTAAAGAGACGGTGTGTATTTTTCCTGGTGATAGGGGGCAGTGCATACTAGGGCTGCACAATACATCACAAATGTATCGTCATTGCGATGTATTGTGCAAATCGCAAAGAACTACAGAAA